CTAGCTTGCATGTGAGATTATATAAAATACTGTACTAGCATCCTAGTGGCTGAGAGGCAGATTACCTCTTATTACCTCCCTCTTTTAGCTATCCTGATGCTGAACATTCTGGCAAGCATACACTCACACCTAATTGGAACTTTGAGAAATGTCCTTGGGTTTTTGAAAACCCAAAAAGGCCCCGGTCTCCTCCCCTCAATCATCAGTAGCTTCTCTCCTTTCCTGTCTATTTTATTCCCCCAAATTTCTACTTTTTCCCCAGCACTCCTCTGTGCCACTCTATTGTTTGCTTTCCCACCCAATTCAGCCACAAACTGCTCTCTCAACTCCAGGTGCTGGTTGAGCTGGAAAACAGCTCTCCTAGCTCACTGCATCAGATGCTCTATGTCACCCCAAACTCAGCTCAGCCTAGAATCAATGAAACATCCCCAAACCCCACTTAAGAACCTCTCCACAAAAAAAAAACTCTCCATAGTTCCCAGCTCCTTCTTTCAATTTTGGCCCAAGACTCTCAGCTACTGTTCTTTATCCTATCATTCCACAATTTCTATCCCTTACTTCCCCCTACCTAGGCGGCCCTACCAACTGCAGACAGAAAACTCGTGTGTATCCACTTCCTCCTTTCAAGGCCCTTCTACCTAGGACCCTGAATTTCTTCCTCCACCCAGAATCCTCACTTTCATCAAGATTTTCTCATTAATGCTTGGACTTGTCAGACCCACATCCAAACTAACCTCCCACTTCCTGGACTCTCCCTGGCTAAAGGCTATCAATCAAAGGCAATTTTTAACCTTTCCTACACCAGCTCCAGACAGACCGTCTTCCTCTTTTGGCTCATTATTTCCCCTTCCCTCTTTTTACATTCTGCATTTTCCACCTGTCTACTACATCTCTGTTCTCTATTTCCTTTACTGGCACAAATATTTGTATGTCTGCCTAAATACCACTTTCTCTTCAACTTAAGATCACCCCAAGATCACTGGTCTCTTACCTTACGGCCTCAAACTTAGGGATTTTAGCATTAAAGTCGAGAAAAGTGGGGCGGGGCAATAGTACAGTGGTAAGGCACATGCCTTGTATGCAGCCAACCCGGGTTTCATCCCAGGCATCCCTGAGCTCCGCCAGGAATGATTCCTGAGCCTGGGGTAACCCACGGATCTCCAGCTGTGGGCCCCCAAAACAAAACAAAGCAAAAAGTTGAAAAAAAATCTGAAAGATTCCTGAAACTTCACTTTGGAAAACATTCTAGAGATTGCCTAGGTTCTAAGACGGAACCTTCCTGACCCCTTCACTGCTCAACCAACCCTCTTGCCAACTTTTCTTCTTGCCTTTCTTCTTCCTGGCATTCAAATTCAGGATTTCCTCTCATCCTCCTGTTCCTCTAAAAGAAGCCCCACTTTAGAACCCGTAATCCGATTAATTACATCCTGAGCCCTCTGTCATCTGTACCGCATTTCCCCCCTCGGTAGTGAACTGCATCATCCACCAAACATAGAGAACCTTGGAGGAAGCCCCGTCACCTCCCAAGAAAGTCTGAACCATTAAGAAAGGGTTCTTGTCTCTCTCCCTCCTCTCCAGTACAAAACAGCTAGATCTGTAGGAGTGCTCTTGGTACAGCCACCATTTCTTCTGAACTCCCTTCTCCCCTGCTCCAATCCAGACTGACAACAGAGTCTGCCATGGACTTAGCTTTCCCTCTGTCCTACCCTAACCACCCTTTCCTTATCAGTCCACTCTAAACAACTACCCCCTTAACCAAAGATACCAGAGTCCTGCACATCTTCCTCCTTCTCTACTGACTTCTTAGAAACAGAAGGGAAAGAAACCTACCTACCCTCACTGACAATCTGGTAGCAGAGTCAGCTGACCTCTTACAAGTCACTTTGAGCATGGCTCTGTAATCTAAGGCCCGAGTCTCCTCTTCCCATCCAACCCAGGGCTGCAGCCTCAAAACAGAAGGTGAGTGTGCCAACCACCGGCCACAAATGCTTAGTCAAAAGGGTCATGCCCTGCAAGTCCACCTACCTTTGAATCCTCCCATCACCTAGAACATAACTTCTCCTAGCCCCCTCCACCACCCCCAGACTAGCCTACTAACTTTGCTTTGTTTTGTTTTTTTGAGCCACACCCAGCATTGCCCAGGGCTTGCTCCTGGTTCTCCACTGAGGAATCACTGCTAGCAGGACTCCAGGGACCATCTGGGGTGCCTAAGACCGAACCTGGGTTGGCAGTGTGCAAATCAAGTGCCCTGTACTCTCTCCAATTCCCTAACCTTGCATATTCATGCAAATTTTACAGGTTGACCCCAATATTTTGCTTCTATCCGGAGACCATGGGTGATTCTTTGAACTAGGTGACCCCATGTACCCTCAGCAGAATGCCCCAAACTTTCTGCCAACCGACAGTCCACTTGAGCACTGGGTGGTGCTATCCCTATCTGACCCAAGTCACCCTAAACTCTGCTCCTACTGTGCTGCTTACCATTGTCCCCATAATAAAGCTCCTATTAGTCCAGCATGCAAGAACAGGTCAGATAAACTGAGAACCAGATGACCTTTAAGGTCTCTTCCAACCTTGGAACTTTATTAGCAACCTAAACTCACTACCCACACCAAACACATCCTCCATTCAATTTCCCAGTTTCCGAAGCACGAGTGTGAAAAACAGCTTTTGAAGTTAAAAAGAACCACGGGGTTAAATGGGTAATGCTCCTGCTCACAGTCGCACCCCCAGAAATCCCAGCAAAGATTCTGGACATAGCACTCCGACCTCTGTACCACGGAGAACTGCCTCCAAACTGCCTTGCTGGACATGAGATGGGTGGCAAGAAGTTACGGGGCCCCCTTCCCACTCGCAGGGAAAGAAACCTTCAACTCTGGGTTCGACGTGTCCTCGCCAAAGGACGCTGGTCCTCACTGTCTACTCTGGGAAGACACCAAGAATGAAGAAGTATCATATCCGACAGCTCTCACCAGTCAACACCGGACATTTCTGAACAATGTAACAAAAACAGCGCTTTTACTGGGGGGGGGGAGGTGCGGGCGGAAAAGCAGGGCACCCCCACCTGAGCCGCTGGCCTCCCGGGCGTGATCCGTGCTCCCCTCCCGCTTTTGCCCGGGACTTCACATCTTTTCCTTGCAACGATCTCCTGCACCCTCCGTAACCCCAGAACCCCAGCCTAGGTGCGGCCGACTCCTCCCAGTCTTGCCCCGGACGTCCCTCCGGCCCAGCCTTCCTCTCAGCGGGACCCCGGCAAAGGGCGCCCCCGCCAGAGTCCGGTTCGCCTCCCAGTTCCTGCTCCGACCCTTCGGGCGCTCCTGCGCGGCTCTGTCCCGAAGCAGAACCTCGAGGAGATGAGCCCACGAGGCTCGTCGTGGGACCCCCCCCACCCCTTCCTTCTCCCAGCACCTCGTCCTCCATGCACCCGGCCCCCGGGGCTCGTCGTCGTCGTCGTCCCGGTTCGCACCGCCCCCGTCGGGGCTCCACCCCCCGCCTGCCCCCGCCCCCAGGACGGCCCCCTCCCCACAGTGCGCCGCCCGCGCCCTCTGCCCCGGCACGGGACTCCCTTTGGCCTCCGTTCCCCGCCCAGAAGCGGCGGCGGCGGCGGCAACGGCTGCGCCGGCCCCAGCAGGAGCAGCAGCGGCGGCGGCAGCGGCGGCGGCGGCGGCAGCGCCGCCCCGGCCCCGCCCCGCCGCCCGCCGGAGCCCCACGCCCCGCCGGCCCGCCCCGCCGCCGGACTACTCCCCCAGAAGCCCACCGCGGAGCCCCCCCTCCGCATACCCCAGCCGCGATCCGCTCGAATCCAGCTCCGCCGGGCCTGCTGTCCGTTCCGCACGCCCCTTAAGGACCCGGGGTGGGGGCGCCCTGGGGTTCGCGGCCATCCCTCGCCCTCCTCCTCCCGGGGCTGGGGGGATTGCCCCTGATCCCGAAACCCGGCCCCGTAACCGGAGCTTCCCTCCTTCCAGCCCTCGGCTTCGCTCTCAGACCCCTTGCCTCCAGGCCTGGCGCGAAGCGGGTGGAGAGCTTGCTAGCCGGATCTCCCCCCCCTCCACCCCACCCCGCTCGGCTTGCCGGGGCGAGTGAGAATTGCCCCCATCTCATCCTCCGGCAATTTAAGCCCCCTCCCCTCCCCGCCGTGCCCGGCCCGGCAGCCCCCGCCCCAACAGCGAGGGCAGCGGAGCCAGGGCGCTCCGAAGTCGTCCCCCGCCTTTTTTCCAGGGACTCGGATAATTGCCCCTGCCCCCATCACAGCACTCCCACTCCCGAACCCAGGCCCCGTCGCCACCTAGGGGTACCCCTTACCCTACGGTTCCCGCACCCCAACACCGGGGAGAAAACAGCCCTGAAGAGCACCCGCTGCACCTCCCCTCGGAGGTTGGGTGATATTTTCTCCCGGTCTCTTCAAGACTTCCTCGCGGACAGTAACCCCCCCCCCAAATTAAAAAAAAAAAAAGAAAAAAACAAGCCCCTTCTTCTCGCCCTGCCCTGCTGGCCAGTCTCCGTTCGGATCGTCGGATCCTTGGCTGGCTGGAAAGGGGTGGGGGGAGCAGGTAGTTAACAAGAACCTAGCCTCCACCTCCCTTTTCCAGAAGTGGGGTAATACCAATGGTTACCCCCCACCTCCGAATCAACCCGACCCCCAGTTTCCATGGAGACCCCCGCCCAGCCGACAAGTCTCTGAGATCGCGGTGAACAAGTCTCACCTGGCTGCAGGAGAAGGGGGCATCGAGGGGGTAGGGTAGGGCAGGGATGGGGTACGAAGGTGGGAAGTGGAGGGGAGCTGTCCCGAAGGGAGGGGCGAGGACGGAGCGAGCTCCAGGGAGCGCGACGTCCGGGGACGCTGAGGACGGCGCCCCCGGGGGGCAAGCCGAACAGACGCCGGGCGCAGAAGGGACAGGGCTGAGCAAAGGTTTAAGACAGAAAGAAGCGGGTGGGGGGATACGAGAAAGCCGGGGAGTCTAAAGGGGTGGAGGGCTGGGGGAGAGAGAAAAAAGACGCACCTGTTCCCGGGTCGGCTCCGCGGGGAGGCTCAGGCCGCCACCCCGGCTCCCTCCTAGCCCCACCGAAGCGCCACCCGCTGAATATTGCCCCGATCCGACGCCCCCCTCCACCCCTTCTCGCCACCGACCTCCTTCTCCTCTCTCTCTCCGCGGCGGCGGCGGTCGGACTCTAGGAACTGAGAGGAAGAAGGGAGGGCTCAGCAAAGCGGAGGAGAGACAGAGCCACACACTGGCAGCAGCCGCGGCGAGCGAAAGAGTGAGGGGGAGAGCGGTGTGTGTGTGTCTGTGTGTGCGAGCGAAGCCTGGTAGAGTGGGTGCCGGTCGCAGGGCTCGACGGGAAGTGGAGTCCGGCCGCGTCCGCGGGCGGCGCCAGCCCCCACGCCGCAAGACTACAACTCCCAGAGTGCTGCCCGTCCGGGGGGAGGAATGGGGAGGAGGCGGCAAAGGGGGGGGAGCGAGCGAGAGAGGGAGGGACGAAAGCAGGGAGCAAGCAAGCGGCGGCGAAGGGGGCAGAGCCAAGCAGCCCCGGTGACACTGGGAGGGTAGGGGAGGAGGAGGGGATCGCTGCAAGGACCGAGCGGATTCCGGGGAGGGAGGCAGCGGTGGCTGCAGCAAGCCGGGCAAAAAGCTAGACTCCCGGGAGAGGCGGAGGCGCTGGATCCGAGGGGTTTCGAGAGCCCCACGCCCCCCACCTCGACGCCCCTAGAAGAGGGAGGTTGAGGAAAGGAGCAGATCGGTGCGCCGCGGCTCTTTCTTCCAGCGCTCTCCCGTAATGCCCCGACCTGACTTTCTCCGGCCACTGGTGCCCGGTCCCAGTGAGCAAAGCCCGAGACCCCAGATCTCCCCTGCAGGGAGGCACAGAACAAATGCACTCAGCCCCCTTCTCCCAGGGGCCTGAGGGAGGCTCCCCTTAGCTGGCAGGGCGTGACTCCCCCTTCTTCCTGCCCCCCCAGTCTTCACCACCCCCCCATCTCCCTCCCCGGAACCCCTCCCCTGAAGCGGGGCTCCTGTCTCTCTCCCAGCCAAGAAACGGACTCGCTCCTGGAGCGATTCCCCAGCCCCTTCCCGGACTGGGCCCTGTCCACCAGGACCCCCTTGTTCAGCGTTGCCTCCTCACCTAAGTAATAGTGGGGGGGGGGGGTGCGACCCGAGTCGGACTGCTGGCGACTTTCCCTCCGAGACTAGCCGCCCTCGACCACGACGACCCTGTGAAAAGAGAGAGGAGCGCATGAATACTCTGTTCTTTACACACACACACACACACACACACACAACCAACCCAAGTTCAGACCCCCTGGAAATGTTACACAGGAAAAAAGAGCGGAGGGCTCAGTCGTGGAAGTGAGCTTCAAGGGTGAGTCCCAATCCTCAAACCTCACCCCAGACGTGGAAATCCAGGGATTCGCCCCTAGTCTCCAAAGCCATGCAAACTGCTGGGGGCCGAACAGGGGCGGGGGCGACGATCATCTAACCCCCAACGTCTACGCTACACGCAACGAAGCCCCATGTAGGAATAAGATCCGAAGTAGGCTGCCGCTGCGCGAGAGAAAGTCCAACCTCCCCCCCACACACACCCCGCTGCAGTCGTCCACCCCCAAACACAGACCCCCTAGGAGAGTTTGCGAGCCGAGGGAGGCGCGGGGGAGCAGCGGTGGGAGAGCTGGCGAGCGAAAGGGCAGAAGCTGGGAGGGTCCGCGCCCCCCGCCCCCCAAGCCCAATCCAGATGCTCCAGAGGTGGGCAGGGGGTGCGGCAGAACCGCCAACGGTGTCTTTGCCCGTTTTTCCCGGAATCGCTGCCGAACCCCGTCTAACACTCCGAGTTGCTCACCAGTCTCGGTCCCCTCGCCGCATTCGGGCAGCCCGGGCGGGCACAAACTCCGCGGAAGCTGGCCTCCGTCGCCGCCGCCGCGCGGCCGCGGGCCTCTCTCCCTCCGCTGGCGGCCCCGCTGATCTACCTTCGCCCCCGGCCGAGGCCAGACCCCGCTCGCAACTCCACGCCCCTACTCCACCCCCGGCTCCCCCTCCCCTCGCCCTCTCCCCGCGGGTCCGGCCCAGCCCCTAGCGCCGCCCCGCCCTACCGCTCGGTCCCGAGCCGAGCAAGTGCCCCGAACTCGCCCCCCGCCCCCACGCCCAGGCCAGTCCGGCCGGGCCTGCTCCCCCTCTCGCCCCGCCCCGCCCCCGAATCCACGTCCTACTTCGCCACCCAACTCGGCCCGGTCCGGGTTCGGCCCGCGCCCAGGCCACCGGAGTCCCCGGTTCGGTCCGGTGTACCGCCACCCACCCCGCCCTTGCCTGGGTGCCGGCCTGGCCCGCTGCCTGTGTCCGCCCAGCCGGCCCAGGCGCGCGGTCCGGGTCCGGGTCTCGGTGCCGGCCTCGGTCCCGGCGGCGTTGGCGCGTCTCGCCACGAGGGCTCGGTCCACGCAAGATCCGAACCCGTGCGGGGTGGGGGCCGCGGCAAGCAAGTTTCTTTATCTTCCCTCCGCCCCCGCCGCAGGGCCGCGCCGTCCTCCCCCCCCCCCACCCCCTCCGCCACCACCACATACCCGGCGTCCCCCTTTACCTGGGCAGAGCCCCCCGGCCGCTGTCGCAACTTTGCTCTTCTCCAAGCAGCCGGGGAAGCGGGCAGAGCGGGAGGAGGAGGGAGGTGGCGGGGGGGGGGGGGGGGTGCTGGGATCAGGCCGCTGGGCTCCCGGAGGACACGTGGGGGAGGAGGGGAGGGAGGAGGAGGAGGAAGGGGGGGCGGGCCTGCAGTTCTCGGGGCTCCCCCTGCCAGCCCCGGGGAAGCCGGAACCTCGCCGGGCAGCCGCAGACCCCGCACTGGCCACGGGGGAAGAACGGACCCACCTTCCAGGGCCAGTCCCCGGCTCCAGGAAGCGGGAGGGGGGGCCGCGGGGGGGGCCTCTTGCAACGCCGCTCGGGGTCGGAGAGCGTTTTCGCTCGTGCTTTCTGTGTGACTCTCTGGGCGTTGAGCCTTAGTGTATGGGATCGGGGGGCGTAGGGGCTTGCGCACGCGAGGGGGCGTCCCCGGCGGACGCCCCGCCCCTCCGCCGGCCCCCCACTTCCCTACGCGGGGCGACCTCGGTGCGCGGCACTGGCGTTCAGGCACCGAGGCCGCCCGCGGGCGCAACCCCAGCGAAGTGGGACAGGTGCTGGGGAAGGAAAAATGCCGGGGCTCGGGGCTCCGCCTCGCGTCTCCACACGGCCCAACCTTCGTGGCACCCATCGGGGGCTGCAAGCCCCGAGGGCCGCCCTGAAAGGGCAATCCCTGGCCTGGGCAGGGAGACGTCTGAACGGGGGTGGGGGTGGGGGGGGCGGGAGGGAGAGGCCGGAGGGAGGAAGGAGGAGGAAGGGGACTGTAAAGGGGGAAGCCTGCTTTAGTGGGGCCCGCAAACTTGGCTCGAAGAGGACTTGGCTTCTGCGTGCTTGGCCCAGGCTCCTCGGTCACCAAACCAAGCCCCTTGACCCTTAACCCTTTCCCTAACGACTCCCCGCCTGGCCATAGGCATAAATCCTTGTACGTGTTTACATCCCAGACCATCCCCTAGACTGAAGGCTGAGCAGCCCGCGGTCCGCAGTAGAACTCCGAAGCCTTTATCTTAAAGGCAAGGAGGAAAGCAATTTGCCATGCGAGCTCAAACTGACGGCAGGCTTGCTCAGGTCCCAGGGTGTCTTCGTCTTCGCAGCTCCAACCCTGAACCGGTGGTAGGGACTTCAAAGACAGCGCTCCAGCCTAGAGGGTATTAGGGGACGTACCCAGCAGTTTCGGGAGTGTTCGGGGCTTTTTGAACGGAATGTGAAATGAATAGCAGGAATTTGGAGGTGAGGAGGGGGCCCGATGTGTGAACACATTGATAAAGTTTGTTGAGATATATGTGTATCCTGAGAAAGCCAAAGAGACATTCGAAATAGAAGGAAGAATTAATGTCTTCCTCCTCCTTTCCCATCCTCCACTTTTGTCCTGGGCCCAGAGGGACCATCTCTAAGCTATGAGGTGTCTTCTCTCCCTTGAAAGGACTTTAGAGATGGCAGTTGAGACTTGCCTGGTATGTGTCCCTCACCTGATTTGAAGGATGTGTGTGAGTTGTGGGGAGAAGGGCAAGCACTATGGCTGCAAGTGGATTTGCAGTCACCTGAGGCCTGGTAACCCGTCTTTCCTTCTTCAGCAACCTCAAAATCTATTGGCAGCACCGTGGACCATTGTGCTTTGCTTTGGGAACCTTTTCACTAGTAGTCATGTATAGCCATCCCCACCCCCCCTCCCCACACAAACATCTCCAAATATTTTTAAATGTGTGCTTAGCCTAAGTTCCACTAAAAGGGAAAGTGGAGATTTGGGAGTGATTTGCTTAAACTAAGCAACATATGAACACCAAATGAAGGGCGGTGACCCGAATCCTCGCTTCTATGATGGGCCTGAAAATGCAGGCCCCATGATTGGGCTTTGATTTAACCTGGCTGAGGATATTGATCTTAATTTATTTGCTAACTGTTAAATCTCCACTGCCCTTAAGATCCTTAGGACTTTTCAAAAAGGGCCTTAGGGCAGCTCTGTTCTTTGGTGTGAGGCTAGACTGGGTTCTGGGCACCTTGTCTCCAGTGTCCTGTGTTTCACCATTTGGCTGCATCATTTATCTGGTGAAATGAAGGTTGGGGCAAGATGGCTATTTCCTGGCTGCAGCTCTAGCTTCTCTGAGCCCTTTTCCTGTTGGGGGCCACACTTCCTGTCCTACAGGAGATGATGGGAAACCAAGGAGCAGAGTGGGAAGAACTGTGAGGAGCCTTATGAAGAATAGAGGTAAATAGGATTGTTTTATTTGATGCTAAAGCCCAACAGAACCACAATGGCTTGCCTTTTAACAGCCTCAGAGTGTTGACACAGCCCTTTCATTTGTGTTAGTTAATTTGTTTCTCTCTACAATGCTGGGTTTTGTAATTGAGGAGACTGAGCCCCTGTGCATCCCTAACACCCTCCAGGAAACTGAGTCTGGATGTCTATGAGTGCCTTGCTCAAGGTAACATAATCAAGGAGTTCCTGAGCCTCGATTACACCAGTCGTTCT